ATATATTTGAGCCATTTCTCAATTCCTTGTGCTCTTTGAGAAAATGGTGTAGTTATAATGGGTTAGTAGGGTTCTTTTGCATACATTAACTCATTCATCTCTACAAAAATCCATGAGATGGGTATTGTCTTATTATCTGTACTTACAGAGGAGGAAGCTGGGGCATAGGGAAGTTAAATAACTTGTCCAAACTCACACAAACAGTAATGATGGAAATGATATTTGACCTGAGAAGTTTCGTTTCACAGCCTGGGCACTCAACCACTTTGCTAGAGTGTATGCTATCCGTATGCTGTGTGAGACTGGAGTTCACACACAGGTCTTGTGTCTGAGCAAATCCCAACATTGTCACCTGCTCAGAGGTGAAGTCAGGAGTAAGGTGAAAATCAAACGGGACTATGCCAACCACTCTCTTATAATTCCCATGGCTTAAATGCTTTGCTTGTGACTTTTTTTGAGCTTATGACGTTTTGAATAATTGATCTTCCATTCTAAAATCTCTCCCAGCTAAAGAGGATGGTGAAAGTTAAAGCACTGGTAGTTTCCCTTTTCTTACCTTTATACCCAGGATCAATCTGTCTCCATATGAATTCACTGTCTCTCCCCAGCCTCTCTCTCTATTCTCTCTTTATCTTTCTGTCTCTCACACAGAGCACAGACATACATAGACTTCACATTTCCCTTTCTTTCCGGCTATTCCTAGCCATGTATGCATCACATGGAAAAATCTGCTTTGCTAATTGAGCCTCTCTGGGTGGTAGGGGGGTAATGTTGGTCCAAATCTGGATACAGGTAGAGCAAAGCTAGTTCTGTGAAGAAAAACAGTGACTGGACACGGTGAGGTGGGGAAAGGACTCATAGTAGTCTGAGTATAATGATAACCATTTTCATGGTGGTCATTTGTTTCAAGGTGCTGGTATCAAAACAAGCTCATTTATCCTTCTACCCATTGATTATTTTGTGATTATTATTTTAGTAACTATTATTGAACTCTAGTATGTACTCACCTTTGGTGGGTAGAGTGTAAAATGCAAAGGGAAGGAGTAGTTCCTGCCTTCAAGGAAGTTGTCTAGTGGGATTTAAAAACATAAGTCACGAGCACACCAAGAACTAAGTGATACAATGTGGTGACATTTCAGAGGAGGGACAGTGAAGAGATTCAAAGCAAGTTTGATAGGAGGGGGCATTTGAGCTGTATCACGACAGGTCTCTAGGATTCTAGCTGTGCAGAGATTAGTAAGAGGGCACTTCAGAGCAAGGAAGTGTAATACCAGAATAACTAGAAATCACCTTTCTGTGTCTCTGTTTCCTTGTCTGTGAAAAAAAAAAAGTGTGCTACATAAATTTTATTTTCTTTTTTTCTGAAAAATAACATGTTTTGGTTACCTAATGCCAATCTAACAGAAGATACCACAAATGGGATGGCTTTAACAAACAGGACTTTATTCTTACAATTTTTGGAGGCTGGCAGTCTGAGTTCAAAGTGCCAGGCTCTAGGGGCTGGGTAAAAGCCCCTCGACTTTGGGCTTCAGCTCTGCCTCTTGCTCCCAGTCCACTGAAGCTAGAGTCATCTCTTCACTCAGGCAGCTACTGGCTGCTGAGGCTAACAAGCCCAAGGTTGACGAATAAAATGGCACAGTCCTAGTGTTACCAAACAACACGGCAGGGCATTGATTCAAGTCCATTGAAAGTCCCAAGACTGGCAGAGCATGGGAGGCTGCTGAACAACGACATGGCTACATGCAAGGTTCAAGCATGCCATAAGCTAGAGACCATTCCCAAAGCTGCTTCTTACTTACGGGAAGCAGACCACATCCCTAACACAGCTACTCAGCTGCCCGTGGTAGATCCCATCATAGAGTTGATTGCCAGTCTCATCATGGGGAATAACTACCACCAGCTGCCCAGTCAAACAGGCCCAGCTAAGGTGACACACAAATTTAACTACTACATATCACAAACCTAAAAGGCAAAATCCATGACCTGAATTCTTACTACATTTAACTGAAATTTTACTTTGTTCCTTTGAATGGCAAGAATACAAAATAAATTCTTTGGTTCATTACAGGCTTTGAACCAGTTTTTCCTGCCTTATTTATGACTAATGAAGCAAAACTGGTATGGACCCAAATTTGTAAAATGTGGGTGTACTAGAATGATAACTGGAATGGGAAAATTTAAGAGGTGCCTGCAAGAAACTTCATCACCCTCCTAGAAAATAAGGGCAGTGTGTGTGTGTAAACAACCAAATCTCTTGACAGGCAGCATTGTAAACAATGGTGCCCAGCTCAAAGATGGCGGCCGTTTAACTTTGAATGTGTGTTGCGCTCCACAGTCCTGGCAATAATCCAATCTCTTGCATCAGGCTTGAAAGGGGTCACTATCCCTGTATTAAGTTTCCCATCACAGAGCTTCAACCTATAATTTTTTGTGATCTGGCTATTGCTCCATTGCACCCATATTTTACAAATTCAGGTCTGTTCTGATTTCACTGTGTTAGCTATGACTGAACAAATTCCTACTGGTTGGAAGTTGTTCTAGTTACCTAGTGCCACTCTGACAAGAAATATACCACAAATGGGAAGGCCTTAACAAACAGGAGTTTATTCTTACAATTTGTAGTCTTTAAGTCCAAGTTCAAAGTGCCAAGCTCTAGGGGCTGGGTGAAAGCCCCTCAACCTTGGGGTCCAGCTCTGCCTCCTGCTCCCAGCCCACTGGTGCTAGAGGCATTTCTTCACTCAGACAGCTGCTGGCTGCTGAGGCTGAAAAGCCCCAAGGTTGATAAATCAAAAGGCACAGTCCTAATGTTACCAAACCACATGGCAGGCCATTCACTTAAGTCCATTGTAAGTCCCAAGGTTGGCAGAGCATAGCAGGCTGCTGAGCAATGACACAGCTACATGCAGGGTCCAAGCGTGCCATAGGCTAGAGACCATTCCCAAAGGCTTCTCCTTATATAAAGGAAGCAGACTACATACCCAAAGGCAGCTACTCAGCTGCTTGTGGTAGATCCCACCATGGAGTTGATTGCCAGTCTCCTCATGGGGATTAACTACCACCAGCTGCCCAGCCACTCAACCAGGCCCAGCCAAGTTGACACACAAACATAACCATCACAGAAGCCCAAGTTCATTTATGGACATTTGCTCCTCCTATGCTCTACTGCTAACCAGAAGGCTGGCGGTTCAAACCCACCAGCCACTCCTCAGAAGGAAGGTTGGGCAATCCTACTTCTGTAGTGATACTGCCTCGGAAACCCAAGGAGGGGTCGCTATGAGTCGGGGCTGATTCGATGGCAAATAACAACAACAACATGCTCTACTGCAGTATTCTTCTACATGACCAGTATGATCTATCTGTAGGATGCTAGTCCAGTTGGGTAATTGTTTGGGGAAATGAACATTCAGTGATCAAATACTGTGAAGAATACTGAGTTGATGAATGTAAAGTGAGCTTTTCTTTGCAGATTTGCTCATAGCCTGTAACAAGTGAATATGCAGTCATGATTCTCGAAGATGAGGAATGCCTTTGACTGTGTTTTCCAAACACTGTCACCACCAATGTTTATCCTCCTTGGTGTGTCTTATGAAATGGTTTTTCCTGTTGAACCCACATTGGAGAAGGTTGCATCAACTAAAGCTGAGTCTGAATACCAAGAGATCATTTTAATACTGGTTGGTATATTCTCAATTCCTCATGCTCTTTGAGAAAATAGTGTTATCATGGGTTAGTAGGCTCTTTTTTTCTTGTACATTAACTCATTTATCTTTACAAAAATCCATAAGATGAGTATTATTATTATCTTTGCTTACAGACAAGGAAGATGAGGCACAGGGAGATTAAATAACTTGTCCAAGGTCACACAGACTGTAATGGTAGAAATTGTGTTTGACCCAAGAAGTTTTGTTTCACAGGCCGGCCACTCAACCAGTTTCACTAGAATGTGTGCTGTCAGTATCCTATGTGAGACTGGACAAAGCATTTCATTCCTCTGTACTTCATTTAATTCACAGTAAGTTGGGGATAATAAGATCTACTCTAACTGCCTCACTGATCTACTGTAAGATTTCAAAAAGAACTGTAAAGTCCAATAGAAGATTCATCATGATTATTCAAACATCCAGTCAGAGAAATACTCCCACCAGATGGCTTATTTTTCAATTACAGAAAGTTTAAAGCCATAATTATTCAATTGACTGTTAGCCATGCTTCATTATGTTTATCCTGTTCCTCTCGACATGTGTTTCAGAGGTGCTGTAAGAAACAAACATGTCTTCTACACTTCAGAAATAACAGCTGGCCTCTTTGTAGGAGGCTTCCCCACTGAGTCTTCCCACTTACCTTACCAGGCTCCTTAGAATCACCCGCTAAACAAATAAAAACAAATTATATTATAAATTATATTTATAGTTCAATTACAAGCATAGCTATATGATTTATAGAGAGCAATGTTAGGAAAATATCTAAGCAACATGATATAAAGTATTTTTACAAATAAAGCACATTATTTTAAATTCTCAGTGATACAGATTTCATCCTTTGAGTCACATGGAGTTACAGTTGCATTTCATTTTAAGAGTCAAGACCCAGTAAGGATCTTCTTTTCTTCTTAGGGAGAGGAGAGGAGGATCCTCAGAGTGTTTGTGAAATGTGCTCTTGAACATAGTATAGGTAAGGCAAATGGAAGAAATGATGAATAAAAGAGCTCTACACGAGGGTAAGACAACTAGGAAGAAGGTCTGGGGAGCTACTTCCAAAATCACAACAGTCCAACCTACAACCCATCATGGGAGTAACACAGGACCAGGCAGCATTTCCATTGTTCATGGAGTCCTCATGAGGCTGAGTAGCCTATACCGTAGCTAACAACAACAACAACAGCATTGTTGAGTGGTCCTGAGGATGTGCAAGGAAATGACTGTCAAGAGAAGAAACAGATGTCTTTTACTGTTAGACTAGAAGTTTGAGAAAATTAGATTTCCAGTCTCAGTCTTATTTTCTCACCCTGGTTTATTGTTCTCAGAAGACTGAAGCCGCCTTTGTAGTCTCCTCATAGCAGATTTCATCTCCTGATTCCTTAGTGCGTAGATCATGGGATTCACCATAGGGGTAATGATTGTGTTATTGATGGCTATGGCTGTGTCCAAGGACAGCGTAATGAAGGGCCGGCAGTAGATGTAAATGCAGGGCACAAAGTGGAGAGTCACCACCAGGATGTGGGAGGTGCAGGTGGAGAGGGCCTTGTTCCACCCCTCCCCAGAGTGGGATCGCAGCATCAGCAGAATAACGGTGTAGGACCCCAGGAGCAGGAGGAACCAGAGCAGGCTCAGTAGCCCATTGTTAGAGATCAACAGAAGCTCCAGAGCAAAGGTGTCAGTGCAGGCCAGTTTTACCACCTGGGGCACATCACAGTAGAAGGCATCCAGAATGTTGGGGCCACAGAAGGGGAGTGGGAGCATCAGAACCATCTGGACAATTGAATGCAGACCACCCCCCATCCAGGAAGCCACCACCAAGGTCACCCATACCTCTCTCCTCATAATGGTCACATAGTGGAGGGGCTTGGCAATTGCCAGGTACCTGTCATAGGCCATTACAGAGAGGAAAAAAACATCTGCCCCCCCAGCAAAGTGAAAGAAAAAGATCTGTGCCATGCAGCCATTGTAGGAGATGGTCTTCCTCTTCGATAAAAGATCCACCAGGAACTTGGGGACAGTGATGGATGAAAAAACAACGTCCAGGATTGATTTGTTCCGCAAGAGAAAGTACATGGGAGTGTGGAGGCGGGACTCCCAGGTGACAGTGACCACAATGAGCATATTGCCCAATACAGTTGTTATGTATACAACAAGAAAGACCACAAACAAGAAACACTCCAGCTCCTGAAGGTGAGTGAGTTCCAGGAAGACAAACTCCTTCACATGGGTGTGGTTGCCCTCATCCATGGTAGGGAAACCCTGTTCCAGGTCTGCCTTGGGAGAAGAGATGTTATCATGAGGAATATGGTGTCATGAGATAGCACCATTATTTATTACTTACTGTTATAAGGCTCTCTAAGTATCCAGATAATCATGACTGCTCAGAAAACTGGCCTAGTGCTTTTCCTTTTGTAGACTGCAAATTCTTTACTCTGACGATTCTTCTTTCCTGTTGGAAATACCCTGGGTTGACAGGAAGATCCATCACACCCGAGCATCCTGTGTCCTTATTCTAACTAGAGGGAGATGAATCAATAGTGCTCCATTTTTAAAATGATTTATCTTCTGGAAAAGTATCTTCTTCACGTATTTATAATGCTTTATACTTCATCAAAGGCTTTTATCTACAACACCACATCTTGCTTTGGATTCTCATGATGTCTCTGTGGGGTTTATAGATTGATTATAATTATCTTTACTTTATATACTGGGAAATGAAACTTAGAGCTGTTAATGCCTTGCCTACAGCTGTGTACTTGGAGAATTAGTAAGTGGCAAATCAATAATTTGAACAGAAATCAGTTTCCTAACACCAGTGGTCTTTCCACTTCACCACTGTATCAGATGAGAGAGCCACAGGGATTTACTTTGACCACTTAGTAGTTTATTGGAATCACTGGGTCGGTAAGTTCCTAAATGAGGAACCTGGCTGAATCAAGTAGTTTGCAGTTCAAACATACCTGCAGCTCAGAGAAGAAAGGCCTGGTGAACAGCTTTTGTAA